GTGAGTTTTAGTAATTTCTAGCATCATAAGTTGTTGTGTAATAATGTTTTGATATTCATTCTTTGTAGGGTTTTGTTTTGGACGTTTTTATTGGTACTTGCTTTTCTGGATGGAAAGTACCAACATGGTTTAGTTACCGAGCCTCTGGATCAGTCTTAAAGCAAAAGCTACCCTCGCACTGGTGTGCCAAAAATTTTACCGGGATAGCTCTATGCGCTGTTATCTTATTTTCTGGAAACCATGACCAAAATAATTCACTCTTAGTGAAATGTCATTGTGATTTCAAGAATAAAGATGGATCACATATCCACTTTAGTTTAACTACTGGAGGTTGGAGCGAACCAGGAAACACCCCGCAGAAGATTGAGTCGTCTCATGTCTTTATTGGCTATATCAGTAGAATGGATATAACCAAACATGGTGTTGGGAACAATGAAGAAGGATGTATTTTTACCGAAGCTTCCCTTGAGTTTCAAGTAACAGATGGTACTAATGAGATAGTAGGTTGCGAGGTGTTGAAGTGTGGCTTTAGTTTGGTATATGCATCAGATGAAAATAATTTTGTAACCCCAAAGAAGGTTGAGAAGCCTAAAATGCTTTCTTCAGTTGGAGTTGACGTACGACTCAAGCAATTGGAAAAGGTTTTATTCTCGACGCCTGGAGAAACCCGTATCATTGGAGTTGTTGGGGAGCCTGGTATTGGTAAAACAACTCTTGCAACGATTTTGTTTGAAAAGCGTGGGTGTAAGTTTCCAAGTAACTTGTTCTTACGGATGTCGAAAGAGCATCAACCGAAACAGTGGAGAAGGATGTTCTTGGAAGGGCTACTGAAGTACGCAAATCAAACCATAAGCGACGAGACAACACATGAATATATGAAGGATACACTTCTCAAAACTAAATCTTTTATTGTCCTCGATGACGTGAGTGACAAGAAGCAGTTAGAGTTTCTCCTTGGCAACCTCAACTGGATTAAGAAGGGAAGCAAGATTGTAATTACTACCCATGAGTTGTCGTTTCTCGAGGGATTTGCTCATGAAACTTACGTGGTTCCAAAATTGAACAACAAAGAAGCCTTTCAACTATTTAGTTATCATGCCTTTGATTATCAGATTTGCAGTCCCACAAGGACCTTCCTGACCTTGTCTAAAACTTTTGTGGACAATATTGGAGGCAACCCACTAGCTCTCAAGTTGTTGGGTAGTGAACTTTGTGGAAAAGATGAGGCTCACTGGAAACATAAATTGCAAACATTGACGCACAATTCCAATACCAGGATCGAAGATGTCGAGAGATCATTCATCGATCAAGTTAGTCAGCAACATAAAGACGTGTTTCTAGACACCGGAGGTTTTTTCAGATCAGAGGAGGAGTATTTTGTTAGGAGTCTACTGGATTCAAGAAATTTTGACTCAACGGATGCTATGAGTGAAATCATGGATCTTGATGAGAGGTTCTTGACCGAAACCTGTAATGGCCAAGAAGAAATGAATGATCTAGTATGTACGTTCGAGATGGACATTGGTTCTCTTGGGCGGTATATGCGGTTGAATTACGACGATATTACCAACAAGCTCAAGAAGATGGGAAAAGAGGTAGGTATTTTTGAGAATTACCTTCTTTTTTTTTTTCTTTTGCGAAAGATGAAATCCAACATGCCTACAATATTAATTGTAAAATTTGAGCAAGGCGGCTTCATGTATTTGCTAACTTGCTTTCTTTTAACTTGCTCAGGAGGCTAATAATGTGAGAGGTATTATCTTAGACATGTCTGAAGTAACAAAGAGCATTGCATTGGAACGTATGATCTTCACCAATATGATCAATCTCCGATACCTCAAGATATATGATTCTTGTTGTCCACGTCACTGTAAACCTGACTTTGAATTATACTTTCCGGATGGGCTTGCCTTCCCATTGGAAAATGTTCGATATTTCCATTGGTTGAAATTACCGCTAAGGGAACTTCCACGAGACTTCAGACCGGAGAATCTTATCACCCTTCGACTTCCTTACAGCAAGATTGAATGTGTTTGGGAAGGTGTTAAGGTGCGTTCTCTTGTGCAATACACTTTTATTGCTTCATTAGATGCCTAATATTGTAGCATGTCTAACTTTATGAATTATCACAGGACACACCAAGATTAAGGTGGGTGGATTTAAGCTATTCGACTAAGTTGCTCAACTTATCAGCATTGTCAAATGCCAAAAATCTTGAGAAATTAAATTTGGAAGGATGCACTAGTTTGGATGAGTTGCCATTAGAGATTCAAAATATGAAGTCTCTGTTTTACTTGAATCTGAGAGGATGCATACGTCTTTGTTCTCTTCCAAAGATGAATTTAATCTCTCTAAAGATTCTCATCCTTAGCGACTGCTCAAATCTCAATGAGTTTCAGCTAATTTCCGAGAGTATAGAATTTCTACATTTAGATGGAACTTCAATCAAGGGACTTCCTCCAGCAATCAAGAACCTCCAAAGACTTGTCTTGCTGAACATGAGAAACTGTAAAATGTTGGAGTTTCTTCCCAACTGTCTTTGCGAGTTGAAATGTCTCGAGGAGCTAATTCTTTCAGGTTGCTCAATGCTTATAAACTTTCCTTATATCAAGCAGAGCATGAGAAATCTCCAAAAATTACTTTACGACGAGACCGGAGCAGAGGAGATGCCAAAAATATCATACTTCACGAGATCCAAAGGCCAAGCTACCGGAGATTCTTCCCAACTTTTCTTACAACCGTATGGATCATTTTACAACTCGCCACGTAGAGTTTATAGAGTATCCTTACTACAACGTTTATGTTTGAGCGGAAATGGTTTTGTCAGCTTGCAAACTGACATCGGACAACTCTATCACTTGAAATGGCTTGATGTGAAACATTGCAAGAAGCTGAGATCTGTTCCGACGCTTCCACCAAGAATTCAATATTTTGATGCTCATGGCTGTGAATCTCTTGAAAAAGTTGCAAATCCTCTTGCTCGTCCGGTGGTGACAGAGCAGATCCATGCCACCTTCAATTTTGCCAATTGCAGCAAGCTTGATCAAGATGCAAAGGATAGTATTATTTCCTACAGTCGTCGGAAAAGCCAGTTAGTGCTAGATGCACTTTCTCGGTACAATGAGGTATGTTTATTTCTCTATATCAGTATCCTTTAATTTGTCTAGGGGTTTTTTTATCAACTGTGTGAAAATTGTATTGAGGCGAATACGTCCACTTTTTTGTCTAGGGTTTTTCAATGTGTGAATAAATAATTACAAACCCTTATGATCTTTTTTATTCCAGCAGGGTATTGCTTTAGAAGCTTTGATTGGAACGTGCTTTCCTGGTTGGGAAGTACCTGCATGGTTTAGTCACCGAGCCTCTGGATCAATGTTAACGTCAAAGCTGCCTCCACACTGGTGTGACAACAGGTTTACTGGAATAGCTCTATGCGCTGTTATACAGTTTCCTGGTTACAATGATCAAAGTAACCTCTCAGTGAAATGTAACGGTGTGTTCAAGAATGAAGACGGGTTTTCTAAATCCTTTAGTTGCACTATTGGAGGTTGGAGCCAATCAAGTAACACACCGCAGAAAATTGAGTCGTCTCATGTCTTTATCGGCTATATCCGTAGATTGGATGTCAGCAATAAACAAGAAGAAAAATGCGCAATTAGCAAAACTTTGCTTGAGTTTCAAGTAACCGATGGTAAGGGAGAGGTAGTAGTAGGTTGCGTTGTGCTAAAGTGTGGCTTTAATTTGGTGTATGCACCTGATGAAAGAGAGAATATATGTTGGGATGCAACGACGACTGTTGCACCTACGAATAGAGTTGTGAACGTCTCGGGTGAAGCACCAATACTAGACAGGTCCCGAAGTGATAGTGACATTCAGTATCAGTCATACTCTTCTCTAGATGAAGCATTATCTCGTGGAAAGTTGAGAAGGGATGGTAATGTCATATATCAATCTTACAACAGTCTAAATCCAGAGAGGGCCAAGAACCTTGTAGGTCGAGTCACTCATTCTGGATCGTCTCGAGAGAATAATGTTATCAAGGATCAACGTAACTCCTTTATAGCTGAAGCAAAGTCTTTTAGAAAGTCGAGAAGGGACGATAATGTCTTATATCAATCTTACAACAGTCTAGATCCAGGGAGGGTCAAGAACGTCCTAGGTGAAGTCACTCATTTTGGAAAGACCCGAAAAAATCATGATATCAAGTATCAGCCTTATCATGGTCGAATCCCAAGGAGACAATTAATCAATTAACGTGATGCAGTCTCCTTTTGAATATCCACTGTAAGTTTTACTCCACTCTGATTCCAAAATCCAAACTATGGCTTTATCTAGTTCTGCCTCTGTTCACATATGATTTTGCTTCATCTAGGAAAAAATTGAGTGCATATAAATATATTACACAAACGATAAATAATGAGAAAACTCGACTCAATAAATTAATATTCGTATACCAACATGGGT